TGGACTTTAATTATTAAATTATGAATTACTTTTGACAGCTTTCTTTAATAGGTAATAAGATTTAAATCAATTCACTATCACGATTCAGATACTGACAGACAAATTGGCTGGTTATAAGAACAACTCATCTTTAAAAGGGTTAATCAAAAATCAATGGTCTGTCTGTTATTATAAATTACATCAAAGGAAGTTTCTAGAGTTTGAATCTGTAACAGTTGCTCTCTAATTAGATTTATCATGTTCTTATCAGATATTAGTAAAAAATAGTATTGAATAAAAGTGAAACATAATCTTTGATCAAGAATAGCAATCCATTATTGAGTTATTATCATTTTGCCTTTCCACTTAAAAAGGCATCTTGTTTCTCTGGTGTACACAATCTAATTGAGACATCAGAATATACTATGAACAGTTTATGACAATTACCAGATAATGCATCAATATTTGATCTGGTCTATTGAAGAAAAATTACTTGAAATCTCTACAGACAGATATCTAAGTGTATATTTATTTGATATCAATTATCCAGTGAAACACATTGTATATATTACATTATCTTAGTGCCATTCTCTCCAGACAATAGCACATTGACGGCATGTAATATCAAAGACTTGTATTAAAGTGAAATGCCAAGACAATGTTAATACCATTTAAAGTTAGAAATTATATTAAAGTGAAAAGCCAAGACAATGTTAAAACCATTTAAAGTTAAAAAAAATTATATTAAAGTGAAAAGCCAAGACAATGTTAAAACCATTTAAAGTTAGAAATTATATTAAAGTGAAAAGCCAAGACAATGTTAAAACCATTTAAAGTTAGAAATTATATTAAAGTGAAAAGCCAAGACAATGTTAATAACATTTAAAGTTAGAAATTATATTAAAGTGAAAAGCCAAGACAATGTTAAAACCATTTAAAGTTAGAAATTATATTAAAGTGAAAAGCCAAGACAATGTTAAAAACATTTAAAGTTAGAAATTATATTAAACTGAAAAGCCAAGACAATGTTAATACCATTTAAAGTTAGAAATTATATTAAAGTGAAAAGCCAAGACAATGTTAAAACCATTTAAAGTTAAAAAAAATTATATTAAAGTGAAAAGCCATGGCAACATTAATACCTTATTAATAAAAATAAGAAACTCATATTAAATAGGAATATCAAAGCAACTGAATATCATTTAAAAAATGTCAAGAACACTATTTAAAGACAGAAATTCCAATCAAAGAACTACAGCATAAAGAAACATTGTCAACCTTTAATATACTATAACTAATTTAATATGTAAAATGAGCACTTATATCATTATCTAGGGATAGATTCAACAAATTTTACAACCAGACAAAATAATCATTTATGAATGAACTGGGTTGACAAGTAGACTTATTTTAAGACAGAAAAGCTTTTAAAACTACCATTAATCATACCCACATATTGGTGTGTTTCTAACACACACCAGATTGTTTCAATTGATTCAAATAAATAAAATAACCATTATTATATCTTTCTATTGTGTTTCACTGTGATAGGCCATAGACACCTTTCCATTCAGTTTGTTTAAAATAAGAGTATTTTAATTAGTTTTTATTTAGTAAATTTTAACTTCTATCTATTGACAAAGGGGGCTAGTTTTTGAGAATTTAAACATCTGGAAGTAATTAACATGCTAGGTCATGTTTGGTTATGAATTTTTCTATCAAAGAGATATGGTCAACTGTGAACCAAATTTTTTGAGTAAAGCATCCCTTTAAAGTGACCAATTAGTGTATTAATGTCTGATGTTTAGTAATGACAGACACATACAATAGTTGGTGTAAAGTTCAGTAATGTTATCAAGATTCTACACTGGCTATCTTAAACCATCAGACTTTACTTCCGTTACTATACAATCATAAAACACACTGACATAGTTTTATCTTTTCACTTCTGTTTAAAGAAAGTAAAGAAATCTAATCCCCCTCTTTCATAGGAAATAAATTTAGAAATATGAACAAAAGATATGTAAATAATGGGGATGGAATGTCAAATAAAGCAACTGAAAGATCACATCCTTATAGTATTCATTCACAGATTCTAAAGCATATTAGATCTTGTGTAATACAAAAATGTCACCCCAGAAATACCTCTCTTGAAGTTTTCAAACTGAAAAAAAAAAGCAAAATTGTTATTTTGTCTTCAACTAAATAAAGATCTATTTTGACAGGTTTTTCAAAGTCCAGACAAGCAAGATGAAACTATTGAATTATTGAGAACAAGAAAGACATGGAAAGACTGGAATGTTTAATCATGGTTTAGAATGTAAATGATCTTTTTATGCATTAAATGTATCTGGGATGGCTAAATCAAACCATGTTTCACATTTAAAGTTTACACAAAAAAACTATATCACGTTTAGACTCTCAACATTTTAAACTCAACATGTTAATACTTTAAAAGATTTATAGAACAAATATCTTCAAATACATAAAGCATATTAAATGATCTTTTTTCAATATTTTGATTAAAATCTAATCAAGTGAGATGTATTTTTGTAATGAACATCAATATCGTATAGCAAGGTCTTTACGTGACAGGAAAATGTTGAATGAATGTCTTCTATATATGGATACAGAAAATATTGAATTTATAAGGATTAAAAATGGGGTTAAAAGCAAGCAGTCTGTAACAATTTTTAATATGAAAGGAAATGACATGTCTTAAGGAACATTATAACCAAATAACTAGCAGACTGTGACACCACAGCATTAGGCCATTGTTTTTTGTTGTTTCAAAATATCTTATGATATGTATTCATTCAAATATGACATATGTGTTGAAATATAGATCTTGAACCAGTGATGCTCTTACTCAATATTTACTCAATATATTCTGAAAGAAAAATCTTTACAATTTCTAGGGAGATAACCAAAAAATGATTGTCTACTTTCTTTTTCTCACAAAATTAGTCTGCTTCAACTTATTTGCCATCAACCAAGGAATTAATGATGATAGTGGTCTGTGGTGAGAATGATAGTGTTATGTGGCCAGAATGATAGTGTTCTGTGGTCAGAATAATAGTGTTATGTGGCCAGAATGATAGTGTTCTGTGGTCAGAATGATGGTGTCATGTGGTCAGAATGACAGTGTTCTGTGGGCAGAAGGATAGTGTTCTGTGGGCAGAATGATAGTGTTCTGTGGTCAGAATGATGGTGTTATGTGGTCAGAATGACAGTGTTCTGTGGTCAGAATGATAGTGTTCTGTGGTCAGAATGATGGTGTCATGTGGTCAGAATGACAGTGTTCTGTGGGCAGAAGGATAGTGTTCTGTGGGCAGAATGATAGTGTTCTGTGGTCAGAATGATGGTGTTATGTGGTCAGAATGATAGTGTTGAGTGGATGATTAAATGGTTGTGGTCTGTGGTCAGAATAATGAAATCAAAGTTTCTATGTTTTCATGTTATAGCCAGTATAACTTGTTTCAAGCTTTTCCAAAATGTCATCAAATAAATTGCAACAAACATATTGAAACGCTTGATGGTACTTCTATTTGAAGGAGGTCACTACTATATATACTACCTTTACTTTTAATTTTGCTATTCTTTGGACAAGATTTTTGATTGACGGAATTAATTGTTTGCTTGTACAGATTTCTCTTGTAAAAAGTGCTAAGAATTAGAGGTTATTTCATTTTACAAATGTTGTTTGTAAAACAAAGATTTCTTTAAACATTCATTCCAATATAAAACTGTAAAAGATCAGCAGCAGGTCACAGTACAGTATTATTTGAGCAGTGAAGTAAATAGTCTCTTAGGATTTGGCCTATCACTTGTAAATGTTCCTGACAAGTCCTTATAACATAAATTTACAATAATGGTAGGATATGGATATCTCAGATAGACTAGGTTGTCATAAATCACAAGATCTTTGTCAGTTTCATTATCCATGTCTGTAGTAATATTCTGTCAAAAAAGTGACTATCCTCTAATTATCCTCATCATCTCCCATAGCTCTAATTGCAAAAATGCATATTTATATGGTATCTTTGTCACATGGCATAGGTAATTAAATTTGATCTCAGTTTTCCCATGTGCTTACCATAGAAAAACTTTCATGTCAAACCTGACTTTGTCACTCATTTCTATCATAGATGGTCCAGGATGGTTATTGGACTGTTTACCTTGGACTAATATTTAATTCAATTGACCGTTGGATCCTCTTTATTTGAACTACTAAATGTGCAAGCACACAGACAGTCTTGGTCGGAGATTTTTGTCACCAACTAGAGTCACGTCAAGAGTTTCATCGACTGGCATGGGCACATGAGGATACAAAATCTCTGGTCGGTCGTATTCCACCTGGTGTGAAGCATGCAATTGAAAGGAAAATTAATCTGATAATGACGATCTGTCTTGCAGACGATAAAAACTATCAGAGACAAATATCAAACTTGTTTGATATTATAAATCCTGTAGGGGATGTGATAATCTTGTCATTGAAGCACGGACACACTTCAAATTTTACTTAAGACAAAAATCTACAAACCAAGACAGCTAGTGTGCCTCCACCTTAACAGATAATATTGAACGGAAATTAACTTTAAATAATTCAACATATTTCAACACTACCGGTGCTTTTCTGAAGACTGTATTCAAAGTAATTATTGTAATTTAAAGCTAATTTTGAACCATAGACAAAAGACTATAGGATATTGAAAACATTACATCTAGTCAGGAAATCAGACTTTTTATAATGATTCAAAAGGGATTGGAACTAAAAAATAATGTGATTATTTTCCAGTGCGATAAGAGACTACTAGACTAAACTTAAATTTCAAAAGACGGTAGTCTCATCAACTGATAAAGTCACACCAAGTTATCATTTCAATCTCATCTGTTTTTATTTAATTAATATTTAAAGGATATGACACAACTAACAATTTATAACAGAATAAATCGAAAGCAAAAAGAATTGAAGTAAAGTTAAATAACACTGACCAAAAAAAATATTGAAAACACTTACGATTAATAAAGAGTAAAAATACAGATTTCTTCATAGAATAGTTAGCATTGGTCACATGTCCCTGAACCTTATAACTTAATTTCTTATCTTCATGCTCGATTTCTAATAGTTCTCTACAAAATATACATAAATATTGTCAATAATTTATATCAAGAACTATTCATTATTTTATAAAGAAAGAGAATATCAAGATCCTGATGTTTTAAATCATTTTTGGTAATTTTAAATCATTTTTGGTAATTTTAAATCATTTTTGGTAATTTTAAATCATTTTTGGTAATTTTAAATCAGCTGAAATAAAAATAGATGTTTATGACAAACAAGTTTAAAAGCTTTTAATCATTCAAACTTTTCAAAATTCTAAAAAGTTTATAATGATTGAATATAAAAAGATTTAATACACCAGAATATTTTGTGAGTACAGTCAACATTGTATTACAGATTCACCATTTTCATGGGTCTTGAATATATCCAAATAATCTTTCACTTACTATTCCATATATATGATTTTTTTTCTATATACGAAAGAAACTAACTGAAAGATGTGTCTTCTTTTTGACTTTCAAACGTGAATGATTCTGGACACACATGGATCAGCTTAGCTAAAAATTCATGTTTCTGTACAATTGGTAAAAAAATGGTGCATCTGTCCCTTTAAACACACAGAATGCTTTAAATAGGCAGCTTACTGATGGTGGTTGTTTTTTGCAATTCTCCCCTCCCTCCACAAAAGTAAATATACAATATATGATGATTTTAAAAGATCTTAACAAGTAGAATGTTTGGTTTAATAAATAATAAGATAGCTTGCCAGGCAAAGTAACATTCGCCCACTATCAGCTGTCAGAAAAGATAAAGTCTGTAGTGGCTTCATAATGAATTTTCAAATAATCTTAAAAATATTTACAAGTCAAAGCAAAACCTGAAAAACAGTTTATTACATTATCATCAAATTAAAACATGAACAATGTCTCATCGAAGTACACACAACAGCACTGAAATGAAGCGATATGCTTTTACTAAATCAAGGGCAATAACTCTAAAACCATTCATCCGATTATCACCAATTTCAAACCTGACCAAGATCTCATCAATATGTACATGCATACTAATTTTCATCAAGATAGGATAAATAAACATTGTAGCTTTTATCGTGCATATAAGCCAAATTTAATGCATTTTTACTAAATAAACTCTGAAACCATTCATCCAATTATTACCAATTTTGAACTTGACCGAGATCTAATCAATATATACACGCATACTAAGTTTCAAAATTGTAGCCTTTATCATGCATACAAGCAAACAACGGCAATATACGTTCACATTTCAACGTCTTTAATTCAACTAAACATCAATTCAAAACAACATAGTGGACTAGGATTTGTTGTAAAAGAGGAAAAGAGAAATCTTATTGTGAGAACCACGCAATAATGTTCAAAAAATATTGTTGATTTTTTACTTTTTAAGATAAGCACTTACTGGTAATATAAGCAACTATGTCATTGTGTTTGCATTCCACTGACATTTACAACCTAAATATTTCTTATTTTCAAATTAAAACATGTCATAATAAAAACTAGCAACGATTACAAAATAACAGAGCAAAATATATTCCTTATCTTGAATTTATTTCAATTGCCTTTGGGATCAGTCTGTATTTTTTAATTTCAAACATATCAGATAAGATTTGTCCCTTGCTAGTTATATGTTGATAACTACGGTCAACAGCTTGTGCTGCTTTATTCAGGGTTGGTGCCAGATCATATAGACTAATATTGGAACAATGATACTGACAATATTATAAGAAACTATTGCAACCAACTGACTGCAGTGATCCTAAAATGTAGTAATGCCTAAATTCTCTTGAATAACACACTGAAAAAGATTTATTCTATCAATAACAAAAACTATCTAACTTCAATCAAATATATGTTGTATGTGATTAATCATAAGAATATAAATTCTTGGAAAACTTATCATACAATTCTCAAGTTGATTTTAAACTAAAACAACTGATGATATCACATTTTATTTACTGACTATATAGCTGAATATCAATAAATAATAAAGTGGTAGGGAAAAGCTAGGCAACTGCCACTTCATATCAAATTTTCACAACAGCAAACAGCAGTCAACTAAGGTATAGCCCCTACATCCAGCCAAACATTGGTATTCCAAATCTAGCCAAGATATCTTGACCCTTACATTGAGGATTTAGCTTTACATTGGGTGCCTGTTAGGCCAATTTTGGCACCTGCTTAAACCTTCTAGACTCAGACCAGAGTGGACTTGATTTGGTATTTTCACTTATATAAAGGTTTTGAAGTGGTAATAACACACATAAGAATCCAATAATTTGCTATATAAATTAACTCATAGACCTGTTAACACTATACATAAAAAGATAGTGGACCACAGCCATATAAGCCCACTGCGGCATGCGGATGGTAAATATTCAAGATTTTGGGGCAGGGGCAATAACTCTGCTTCTAACGGTCGAAAATAGCTCAAATTCGAACATGATCTTCGTTTTATGAATATGTCTACACATACCGAATTTCATTTGATTCCATCAAAAAATCTAGTTTTTAGAGCGTTTACAAGCAATGTTGACGGACGGACCGATAGTCCGATGGACCTTCGTTTCATGAATATGTATGCACATAACGAATTTCATTTGATTCCTTCAAAGACTCTAGTTTTTAGAGTGTTTACGAGCAATTGATGTTGATAGAAGCACTTACAGTATAGAGGTTAAAGGGCGATAACTCCTCAAAACTGACCTAAGAGGCCTAAATCTTGAAAAAGCCTTAAATTTAATCAGAAGTAAACTAAACTTTCTCAAAACTTTTGATTTAGGTCCAATAAAGCCCAATGCAGACAAGGAACATTTTAAGCAAACAATCGTAAAAATTTTGTTTTGATAAATTTTTTTCACCGTCTGCGGATTACAGAAACACGAACAAAAATGTTCGTGAGAATTATTTGTGAAATCAAACATGTTTGATTTTTTCAAATTGTTCGCCTCCCGAACAATTCTTTGTTCGCCGTCTGCGTTAACGATGAACATTAGCGCCGAACATTCATCGACGAAAGACCAATCAGCGATCGAAGCCAGACCACATGACACTCAAAATGGCAACGTACAGTGAATCCACCTACACAAAATGTTGGTCTGTGAATAAGGAGCGGATTTTAGTAGATATGTGGTCGCAATCTGCCTGTTTGTTTATGATTTCTTCGTCTGACTATTCAGATAGGAACAAGAAGTACGCTGCGATGCAAGAAATAGCACAAGCCCTGGAAACAACCGGTAAATTTACAAAATTGCCGAACACACCCTGCTCTTTACGACGTTGAATCCAGGTACGGACCCAAATGCTCCTATTGCCCCGTCTATGTTGGCGTCTTTTTTAAATTAATAAAATAGCTAACGCAATTTTACATTTTCTTCTGGATATCGCCATTTTGAGGTCATGTGATTTTCCGTGGCACTGGCGTATTGTTCGAGCTAAATGTTTGTCGTCTGCGGAATTATGTTTGTCGTCTGCGGATTACAGAAAACAAATATATTTGTTCGATGTTTTTGTTTGTCCTCAGAAATGTTCCTCGTCTGCGTGGGGCTCAACATCCATTTTAAGTTTCATCAAAATTGGTTGAAAACTAAGAGAGTAATAGCATATTCAAGATTTTGGGGCAAGGGCAATAACTCTGCTTCTAACGGTCGAAAATAGCTTAAATACGAACTTGATCTTTGTTTTATGAATATGTATACATATACTGAATTTCATTAGATTCCATCAAAAAATCTAGTTTTTAGAGCGTTTACAAGCAAATGTTGACGGATTACGGACCGACGGACGGAGTGTTTACGAACAATTGATGTTGATAGTTCTAAGCACTTACTGTATAGAGGTCAAAGGGCGATAACTCCTTAAAACTGACGTAAGAGGCCTAAATCTTGAAAAAGCCTTAAATTTATTCAGAAGTAAACTAAACTTTCTCAAACCTTTCCATTTAGGTCCAATAACATCCATTTTAAGTTTCATCAAAATCGGTTGAAAACTAAGAGAGCAATAGCATATTCAAGATTTTGGGGCAAGGGCAATAACTCTGCTCCTACTCTGATCTTCGTTTTATGAATATGTATACACATACCGAATTTCATTTGATTCCATCAAAAACTTTTTAGAGCGTTTACAAGCAAATGTTGTCAGACCAACGGACTGCTGGACGGACAGGGGTGCCGACAATATACGTCCACATAGAGAGATGTGGGCGTATAAAAATTATAATTTTCTGTAGTCAGAATAAGAAAAATTTCCAGTTTGAAACCAAAATATATCATCAGACTAAAAGGAAGTTTGCTGTGAGCTAACAGAAATTGATTTAATGTCAAAGCAAAATAAAGTTGCAAAATGACAATTTAATCAACCTAAGAAAGATGAAATCTGTATTAAAAAGTATTCACATTTCATATTTCTATATCTAACTCATATGTCTGACCAAAACTTGCTAGTTTATTTTATCATTTCATAAATGCAATAAAGTAATAATCTACATTGTAAGTGGTTTTAATGTATCCCGGTATAGGTGAATACAGTGAAAGATAATCAAAAATATATCAACTACACACAGGAAGCTTAATTTATTATTGAGATAATAATATGATTTACAAATATGACCTGCAGTGTTACAGGTATCTCAGAAAAGTAAATATAAATGCTTGCCCAAAACGGGTTTTAAAAGCTAATAAATATCAAGGCTTGAAAACAAACTTTATATGTTAGCTTTACGATCATATTGGAAATACTATTTCTTGTTCACCAACAGCTCAGTGCTTCAACAGATTATCACATAGAGCTGTATTCTTTCTAGTGCAATATATAACCTAAAAATACACTTAATTAACCCAGCTCAAAAGTGCCTTTTGGTTCCTTTCATATCTTTTAAAACATTCAAAGATTACATTCCTCATATCTTAATAGGCTTTAAATTTATGACAGAAATTCATATTAAACCATTTTTTTTAAATATCAAAAATTTAGAAAAATATCCAACAGGTGTAAGAAATGATCATATGATATGTATCAAAGATAGATTAAACAGA